TCAAATAAATTATATTAATATTCAAATAATTATCCAAATAAATAATATAATATCTGAATTGTTCTAAAACCTCGATAAAAAATGATCAAATGAATTGTACGATATATTTTAGGCGAAAGTCGAGTTTCTCACGAATCGCTATGAGCGCGCGAGCTTCTTCTCGTAGACGAAGAGAAAAGTTCCTGCAGACCGGTCCTCTTCGGCCTCTTCATCATCAGCGTTCTTTCGACTTTCAGCCACTCCTTTCGTCTTTCGCAAACCTTTCCATGATGAACTGACCGTCCCTTTTTTCTTTTCGCATAACTCTGCGAGTTCATATCAACTCTTCCGCTCCTAAATATATGAACAGGTGTCTCATCGCGCTGCTATATCCATACAGCACAGAAGATTGAAGTAATGTTGCAATATTGCAGATTGCAATGTAATATTGCAGAGATATTACAGAAATATAAATTAATAATATATTCTTGTAAAATGTTAGTAATATATCTGTAATATTCCAGAAATATTGCAAAACTGTAATTCTTTAATTATTACAATAACAATAATATAAAAATATAATTTTTTACAATTTATGTAGTCTTTAGTTTAACAGCCGTTTTATGATAATATAATAGTTAATATAATCCATTTTTATGTTTAAATAAAAAATTTGTTAATCTATTATTTGACATTCATTTCATTAGCTAAGTTTTAAATTTATTTCAAGATGAAATCAAAAGATTGTATAATATCGAGTTTGGATACAATCAACGCATTATTATTGAATAAGACGATTAAGCTGTTGAAAACGATTTATTGAAATATTAATTATGTGAACGCAGGAATAAATCAGCGTCTGAACTTTATTGATTCATATTGTCATTTTTTAATCGATTTCAATGACTCGGAGGGGCTTCAAATTAAAAAGAATCACTGCGATTAACTTAATCCATGATTAACTTGTAACTGTATTATTATGTTAATGTGGAGAATATTTGTAGTTTGTTCGATACACACATACATGCTTTAATTATCCTTGCAAATAAATATATCCTTCAGACTTAATACTGCATATATTGGAATATTTTATGGTTTTATTATAAAAAATTGTTTTTGGAAAGCACATATCACTAGAAATACGATTTGTAGAAAAATTATAGTTACTGAGATATATTTATAGAAAATAGTTTTTCATTTTTTAGAGTCTTCGTAAAAAACTTATTCAAATAAATTACATTGCAATATTCCTGGAATGTTTCGTTGTATAATATAATAAAAAGTGGATATCTTAACATTGGAATCTTACAGCAATGCTTCAGCAACGTTTCGCAACCACCATGCAATATTTAATTCTTTCGTTATTCTTGCGAAACAAAGACGCGATTTGTTTTCACTCTCACGCTAATTACCGTTACGCAGCTTGGTAGCGCTAATTTATAGAAAAGCTTTGCTAATGCATTTGGTTCATTACAGAGAATTTGCAATGCTCTTATGCAAGGTAACGTTGTGCAATGTTCTCGTGAGTTATACTTATATTTGAAGAAACTCTTAACTTGATCGTTGCGCGCGGCACTAACGTTTGTATACATATACATATATCTACTCTTTAGATACCTATACGTCCTACATGTATATAGGTCGCGTACATGTATATAGGTTGTCATTCTTCTAATTGTAATTTGTATGTACATACTATATATGTATACAAACGATGAACTCATTCATAAATTTCATCAAATGAAATTTACATAATATATAGATTATATAGTTGTGCTTTCTTTTCGTGCGAAGACTTCAAATCTCACTCTCAAATATATCGTGACACTTTTAATTGTTTTATCTTCCGATTCTATAGATTCTATAGAATACGCGTGACAGATATTATCAAGCTTGTACTTGTCGATATTTTTCGAGAGAAATGTGCCATCAACAGCAATTGGCATAATGACGAATAGTTGTGACAAAGGAAGGAAAAAATTTAAAATATTTCGTGAAACTATATTAACTACGCGTAATGTACTCCATTTGTCGAGTGGAAATTAAATAAACGTCACATTACAAATGTATGTATATCAAATAAAATCAATGAAATAATCACGTCAGTCTCGCCGGTAGGATCCAATATTCGAAGAACTCTAATATCGAAAAAACGGGGGAGAGGGAGGAAAAAAAAGCAGACGCGAAGGGAGAAATCGTATAATTCGGCCGCGTCGCATCGATGCTGGGCTCTGGACCGAGTCAGGAAATAATTAATATACCGTAGACGCATAACGAACGACTCCACGATGCAGTCTGTTTGTTTTCGGATGGCTCTTCGTCTCTTCCCCGGCCTCAGGGGCTTGTCGGTCGTATCTCTCTTCAGTCGGACTCCTCGACCTCCCGCTGCTTCCCCCTATCTTCCTTTTTTTCCTTTTTATTTTAAACGCGCATATGGGACTGTACATACGTGCCCCTCGACGCGCGACGGCGACGGCCTCTTTGAATTTTTCCTTTTGGAAGGCTACTGTTCTTTATTTCGATTCACAATCGCACGTTTTAAAAAATACATATTTCAAGTCATATTACACGCTAAATACAAACACACATCTGTAGAAAGAATTTTACCAAAGTGATTCGCTCGAAAAAAAAAATCCCATATTCTTTTTTACTTTGATAAAATAACTTGATAAAGAGAATGAAGCAAAGAGCGAAAGAGCAAAAAATCTTACAAGGCATAGAAATATTTTCAAGTATTCGACGTGTAAAATTGAAATTTAATACCCTTGTAACTTTTCACGTTACGAGTTATATAGTAATTTCCCAATTTGTGACACGTATCGAATGGCATTCAATCGTTGCGCTGGAACGCGATGAAATTATCAAGTGGCCCTGTCTTCTTTCTCTCATGCGTGCATGATATTTGATCAACAAAATTGCATCGAAAGACGAGGAGAAAAAGAGAGAAAGGAGACACACAACGGAGCAGCGCCGCATGCCTTTCTCTCTTCCTCCATATATCCTCTCCACTTTAATCTTTCTTTTGTGACTCGGCTGTTTTAGCGTTTTTTAGTCCCCGATGAGCTGGACCCCGACTGCGAATGGAGAGAGGGGCCGGCAGTTCGCAAGACTCGCTCGCAAGGAAAGAGCGAGCGAGAGAGAAAACGGAGACAGGCAAGGCATCGCTGCGGGCTTATTAGCAAGAAACTGGTGGAGAAAGACGAGGTCGCAAGGAGAACCCGACTTAAGATGGTAGATCGAGGGTTGGGGCAAGCCGCGGGCAAACGACGCCGAGCATCCTCGCGAATAAAGATGGCTTTGCAATATATCGCAATAAATGTCCCTCCCTCCCACTCCGTTCCTCTCCTCTCGTTTTCTCTTCATTTATTTCGTATGGTCCTCATTAACACACAGTCGTCAGAGGCTCAGAGGTCGCAAAGTCGTCGATTCGGGGAAGCCACCCTTGTTACGCATATTTATATGCTGTCGAGCATATTTCTAAATATACATTTCGATGCGAAACTCTCTTTCTTTCTCTCAAAGTAACCTCATGATTTCCAATGAAATTAAAATCTTGGATGAAGAGTTTTGCTATAGAAACGCTTAATTTCTGAGATGCTCAATATTAAAAAGCAGAAAAATAATCTAAATTTACAAAC